TATGTGAATAAGTAGTGTGATAGATCTTTTAGAAAAATGGATGTTTGGAGAATGCTAAGTAGGTAAAAAAAAAAGTTATAGAAATAAGTAAACGAGGGGTACTCTTTGTCATCCTTGCATAGAGTTAATAATCAATTTTTCTTCAAGAAAAATCATCACCCGAAACTAGTAAAAAATAATTAAATTGTTCTTTTAGATAAATGGAATGGTTAAAAATACTATGCAAATATATATATGAAATGAATTGTTCTAGAATCTATTTATCTTTTCCTCAAGACATCTGGCGAGGCCTGTTTCTTCTCTGTTCTTTGAAATATTTTGAGATTTTTAGGGATTTTCCATCATTATTTGTATCACTCCATTCCAAATATACGTATATAACGAGCTACCACTCTCGCTTTACATCTTTGTGTGTTTTTAATATATATATATTTAATTTCCGTTTCGTTGCATGCTTTTGCAATTCTTTCATTATGAATTTGACAGAACATATATATCTATATATACCCTCAAAGAGATTCCGAAGGCTAATGTGATTACTCCCTTCCTCCTCTCTCTCCCCTTCTACCAGCCTGGTCAGTTGACACACGGCTAGATGTCAATTTAGAGTACCCAGTGGGGATTCGAATCCATGCCCTTCGGCACTACGGTTAGCGTCGCTAACCAACATATGATCAGTAGAGATTTTAAAAAGGTCAAAATCTTAAGAATATGCGAGTTTTAAATAAGAACAATTTGTGAAGCTTGACATTATTTTATGGTCAAAAAATCAATCTAAAAAAAAAATTCTACAGCTAATTTTAGATGTCCTATTCTTAAGAAGTAGTGCATTTAAAAGAAAAACAAAAAAACTCTTCATGTTCTCCAATATTTCCAAGGAAGTTCCTAATTTTTAAGCGATGAATTACACTTTGCCTTGAAAGTTGTTGCGGGTCAAAACGAAACTAGAAACGATTTGTTACCAAATACTGTTTAGGGCCTAAATGAAAATTTAATTTTTGTGTAAATAGATTAAAGAAATTTTAGTGTTATTTAACTTTTAAAAAAAGAATTTAACCAAATTACCAAAGTTAAATTTCGTTAACGGAATTATAGGGGGATTATATATATATATATTATAATAAAACAATACATTTCAGATTTCCTTTAGCATGCATTAGACAGTTAGTTCATTATCCGAGAAAGCGTATTTCATGGAGTATGATGTATTAGACTTTATCTCAAACACAAATGTTTCATAATATTTATAAATTTTTTAACACCACGTGACACTTAAAGATTAAATACTAGTATACCATAACTTGTGATTTCGAAATTTCTTATCGTAAATGTAGCTTTTATTATTTCTTGAACAGTTCAAGGTAATTTCGTGAAGCTTTAGATTTAGGGCTATGGTAACTATGAAGGGAATAAAAAATATTTAAAAAAATTTTATGTTTACAATTTAGCTTTCTATAATAGCACTTAATAAATCATTCTATTTAATATGATATCTTCTTTTCTAAACACATCAGAAATATATTTTACAGAAAAGCAAATAGTTACAAAAATTAATTATTTATAAGAAATATATAAGATATATTATATATATATATATATATATATATATATATATATATATATATATATATATATATATATATGTATATATGTGTGTGTGTGTGTTTTCTCTCTTATAATATAGGTGTTTTGTAAGGAGAAAACCTAGGACTTCAAGACATATCTCACTGAAGAATATTTCTTTCTGTATATATTTCCAGTCACTGTGTGCTAATATTTATTTACACCTCTGCTGAGCAAATATATACTCATTCTGCTTGATGCATTTTTATAGACTTTTCAAATGAATGAATGTGGCTCGGTGGTCTAGGGGTATGATTCTCGCTTTGGGTGCGAGAGGTCCCGGGTTCAAATCCCGGCCGGGCCCTGTTTTTTCCTGTAGTTTTAAGGAACATATACATTTTTTAAAACATGTTTGTTGAATAACAAATATATATTGACTGTGCAGTATATGAAACATTATAGCTGCATTACGAAAAGACAGAAAGATTTCCCGGAATTCTGATGTAAATCTATTACCATAATACAATATTTTTTCTTTTTAACTAACAATATATATTTTAAAATATTATGAATCATAACAGGCAGCATGAAGTCATTGTTGTTGAAATAATATGCAAGTAAAAAGAGCGAACATCAAGTTCATGTGAATTAAAAAAAAAATTGAGATTTTTTTAGCCTTTAGGATAGAATGCGGTGGCAATTCTTTAAAGCTGGGGTAGGTAGACTTTTCCATGGTATGGATTGCTTCTATTGCTTTAAAGGTGTACACCCAGTGGCGTAAGTGAGGCTAATCTCTATTAAATTTATATGTTTATTTTTTTTCTTAACACTTTTCTTGACATTGTATTCCTTTTTTAAAGATATGACAGATTGCTTTTTATATTCCAAGAACACAAAAATTTCAAGCTTGAACAAATATGAATGGCTACTGGACCGTGGAGTGTAACCGTACTGCAAATGTAATGACCAGAGAACGTACACTTGCCTCCGAAAGTCTGCGTACAGGCAATCATCTTACGTGTTTATGCCATAATTATTATTAAAATATCACCTTAGAAAATCAAAATACTTGTCAGCAATTCTTCAAAATGTTCTTATTCAAACAACAGCAACAAAATTTACCTTAACAAGAACAAACAAGAATAACCATCAAATAATTACCAACCATATGCTCCAAAAGTCTGCGTACACTTACAAAATAGAGCTTTTAAAGACCTTTTATTGTAAAAAAATTACACTAAGTCGTGTTTTTAAGTAATTATAAGCTTCATTACGATTTATTTAGGATTTGAGAGTTGAAAGACTTTGTGGTTCCATGGCAGGCAACACAATAGAGATCGACATATTATTGAAAGAAAAATCATCATAAATCTTCAGAAAAGGAGGAAATTTATAAAGTAATTGTTGAAACTATATATTAATAGGAGACATTCATTGATTCAAAAAGTGTTCAGAAACTACAAAAAAAGTGTGTGTGTACATATGTACGCACATAAGAAGTCATACTTCTTTGGCTTAAAAATCTTTCTAAAAATCTTTAGAAGGGTAAGCTGGGCCAAGGACGAAAGGCAGTCACGAGTAGAGTTGAACGATACTAACCTTCAGTCAATCGGACCACCCAAATCTGAGATAATCATGATTTTAGAAAATTTAAACAGCTCCGCACTCAGACAATAGAACCAATAACTTGGGGGTATCAGACTGTATCTGGAGATGAAGTGAACCAAATGTGACACCTGAGATCTCATATTGAATATCTCGGCGATAAGAATTCGTTCCTGAGAAAATTACGACATCCGCCTGAAGAGCCCCCGAATTAAGGTCATTTTAAAATATTTAAAGCATTTAAAACAATTAAATAAAATACAAGCAGGGCATCCAGCAACTCAAACCTGGGACTAGTTGTGAGCAAAACAAGAGGAATCCATTAGAACCAGTCTGGAGTCTGTAGTTGCAAATGGGGCGGCGCTAGCTTGGGGAAGGAAAACGGAACTACCTCCCCCGGGGGAGGAATAACTGTGACGTAAATGGTCACTTACATCCCAAAGATACACAGAGTATTAGGTCATCCCAAAGTTTCATCCTTCTCTCTCTGTAATATCGTTAATTCATCAAAATATCGAACCCAATAGGAATAACATGGGGATTCTAATTTTAGTGATAAGTCCACTATCTATACATGAATTATAACAGAAGATACAGCTCAACGAGAACTTATGGTCCGAGTTTCATTAACAACTCCCAAAATTCCTCGGAGCTATGCGGGATTTAAAAAAAAAATTATAGCTAAAATAATTTTAAGATGTTAAATACGGGTAAAAAGAAATTTGGCTATGGACCTGAAAAAACATATCTAGGATGCTCATAGGAAGAACAATCGAATCCAGCCGGTACGGTCGACCAAGGTGGCATAGCATTTGAGTTATTTCTGGGGAAGCCCTGTAGGAGGGAGGGGGCCAATTCCCCGTAAGGCTCGCGCTAATACGAAAATATAGCGGACCTTCAAAAATCAAGTTCCAAGCTCAATTGCTTAGGGGGGGTGGAATTTTTTCTAGTCCCCATAGGATTAACATGGGAACATGATATTATAGTGCTTAAACCCTCCTTATGTCTACACAATGGAAATGAACCAGATGACTGGATGGGTCTCAACGAGTAAACACTTGGTTCAAATCTCAAGTCCGAGACTCGAACAGGAGTTAAGATATTGTAATTTTAGGCAAATTTAAAAAGTTTAAGACAATTAAAAACTATGGAAGAAATAGTCCTATTAGCATGAAATTATAATAACTTGAAAAACAGAGAGAGGGATCGAACGAGCCTGTTCGAATGGACTGTGAGGTTCGGGAGCCAAGATATTGGCCAAAAAGCTGTAGAGCTGGGGGGGGGAGGTGGATGCGTC